CGGCATCAACCGTGAGTGTGTGTCCCCCCCCGGGACCCCCACCTCACCCCGGTGCCCCGGCACGGGGACAACCCCAGTTCCCACATTGGTGGGGTGACTGGGACTGTGGCAGGTTACCTGGGTTGGGGACATGGGTGTGGGGATGGGACCATGGGTGGTGGACCATGGATGGGAACCATGGAGGGGAACCCATGAAGAGGGACTGTAGGTGGGGACCATGGGTGGGATCCATGGTGGGGCACCCATGAAGGGGGACCGTGGGTGGGGACCATAGAGGGGAACCCATGGAAGGAGACCATGGAGGGGGACCATGGATGGGAACGATGGGTGGGAACCCATAGAAGGAGACTGTGGATGGGGACCATGTGTGGGATCCATGGAGGGGCACCCATGAAGGGGGACCGTGGAGAGGGACCCATGAAGGGGAACCATAGAGGGGAACCCATGGAAGGAGACCACGGAGGGGGACCGTGGATGGGAACAAAGGGTGGGAACCCATGAAGGGCGACTGTAGATGAGGACAATGGGTGGGAACCATGACAGGGGACCCATGAAGGGGGACCATGGGTGGGAATGATGGAGGGGAACCCATGGAAGGAGACTGTGGATGGGGACCATGGAGGGTGACCATGGATGGGAATGATGGAGGGGAACCCATGAAGGGGAACTCTAGATGAGGACCATGGGTGGGATCCATGGTGGGGCACCCATGAAGGGGGACCATGGAGAGGGATCCATGAAGGGGCACCGTGGGTGGGAATGATGGAAGGGGACCATAGATTGGGACCATGGGTGGGAACCATGGTTGGGAATGATGGAGGGGCACCATGGAGGGGGGACTGTGGAGCGGAACCATAAGTGAGGATCATGGGTGGGAACCATGGTTGGGACTGATGGAGGGGGATCATAGATGGGGATCATGGTTGGGAATGATGGAGGGGGACCGTGGATGTGGACCATGTGTGGGGACTGTGGGTGGGAATGGTGGATGGGATGATGGAAGGGGGGACCATGGGTGGGAACCATGGTTGGGAATGATGGAGGGGGACCATAGATGGGAACCCATGGGTGGGACCCATGGAGGGGGGGACTGTGAATGGGACCTGTGGAGGGGAACAGTAGATGGGAACCATGGTTGGGAATGACGGAGGTGGACCATGGAGGGGAACCCTAGATGGGGATCATGGGTGGAACCCACAGAGGGAGGACCCATGGAAGGGGACCATGTGTGGGAACCATGGTTGGGAATGATGGAGGGGGACCATAGATGGGGACCCATGGGTGGGACCCATGGAGGGGGGACTGTGGATGGGACCGGGGAGGGAACAGTAGATGGGAACTATGGCTGGGACCCATGGAGGGGCACCATGGTTGGAACCCATGGAGGGGGACCACGGGGGGGACCCATGGAGGGGCACCATGGGTGGGTACCATGGTTAGGAAAGATGGAGGGGGACCGTGGGTGGGAACTATAGATGGGGATCATGGAGGGAACCCACGGAGGGAGGACTCATGGAGGGGGGACCCATGGGTGGGGACCATGGTTGGGAATGATGCAGGGGGACTGTGGATGTGGACCATGTGTGGGGACCATGGGTGGGAATGATGGATGGGATCATGGGTGGGAACCATGATTGGGAATGATGGAGGGGGACCATGGGTAGGAGCCATGGAGCGGGGGACTGTGGATGGGACCCGTGGGGGGAAACAGTAGATGGGACCCATGGAGGGGAACCATGAGTGGAACCCATGGGGGGGGGACCCATGGAGGGGGACCATAGATGGGGACCATGGTTGGGAATGATGGAGGGCGACCATGGGTGGGAACCATGGTTGGGAATGATGGAGGGGCACCATGGAGGGGGGACTGTGGAGGGGAACCCTAGGTGAGGATCATGGGTGGGAACCATGGTTAGGAATGATGGAGGGGGACCATAAATGGGGATCATGGGTGGAACCCATGGAGGGAGGACCCATGGAGGGAACCCATGGAGGGGCAACCATGGGTGGGTACCATGGTTGGGAATGGTGGAGGGGGATCATAGATGGGGACCGTGGGTGGGAATGATAGAGGGGGACCCATGGAGGGGGACCATGGGTGGGTATCATGGTTGGGAATGCATGGAGGGGGACCATAGGGGGACCCATGGAGGGAACCCATGGAGAGGGACCATGGGTGGGAACCATGGTTGGGAATGATGAAGGGGGACCATAGATGGGGACCCATCGGTGGAACCCATGGAGGGGGACCACGGAGGGGACCCATGGAGGGGGACCATGGGTGGGTACCATGGTTGGGAATGGTGGAAGGGGACCATAGGGGGACCCATGGAGGGGTGACCATGGGTGGGTACCATGGTTGGGAATGATGGAGAGGGGGATCATAGATGGGGACCATGGTTGGGAATGATGGAGGGGGACCATGGGTGGGACCCACAGAGGGGAACCATGGGTGGGAACGATGGAAGAAGGTCTTACCTTGGTGACGACGGACGCCTTGGGTCCCAGCTCGGGGGGGAGCACCCACTCCCCGGTGGCCGGGGGCTCGCCGGCGAGGTGGCAAGTGAGGTTGACGTTGTCTCCTTGCCGCAGGGCCACCTCGGGCTGCTCGATGGGCTCGGCCGTGTTGGCCCAAGAGGACGACCTGGCCATGTCCTTGCACTTCATGAACTTGGGGGGCAGCCCCCTTTCCTCGGCCGAGAGCAAACTGGAGGGGCTGAAGAGCAACTTCATCGAGAACCCCCAGTATTTCTGTGACACCTGTAAGTGGGGAGGGGGTGACAAGGGTTTTTGGGGAGGGGGGGTGATGGGACACACGCTGATGGGTGTCCGTGTCCCCCCGTCCCACCCCACAAGGCGTCCACCACGTCCAACGCCGGGACATCGTGCTGAAGTGGGAGCTGGGGGAAGGTGCCTTCGGGAAGGTCTTCTTGGCCGAGTGTTACAACCTCCTCCCGGAGCAGGAGAAGATGTTGGTGGCCGTCAAGGTGAGGAAGAGGAGGAGGAGGAAGTTGATGGCCTCAAGTTGCCCCAGGGGGAGGTTCAAGCTGGATATTAGGAAGAATTTCTTCCCCAAAAGAGTTATCAGACGTTGGGATGGGCTGCCCAGGGAGGTGGTGGAGGCACCATCCCTGGAGGTGTCCAAAAGATGGGTTGATGTGGTGGAAGATATGGTTTAGTGATGGTGTTGCTTTTTATTTGTTTTGGGGAGGGGTATTTTTGTCAAAATGAAGTTGGTGGTTGGCCAAGATGATCTTGAAGGTCCCTTAGCTGGATATTAGGAAGAATTTCTTCCCCAAAAGAGTTATCAGACGTTGGGATGGGCTGCCCAGGGAGGTGGTGGAGGCACCATCCCTGGAGGTGTCCAAAAGATGGGTTGATGTGGTGCTGGGAGATACGTTTTGGTGATGGCGTTGCTTTTTATTTGTTTTGGGGAGGGTTATTTTTGTCAAAATCAAGTTGGTGGTTGGCCAAGATGATCTTGAAGGTCCCTTCCAACCTCGAAGATCCTGTGATTCTGGGATTCTGTGAAAGGGGGCGGTGGTGGTGGATGGTGGGATGGAATTAGGGGGTGTCAAGGTTGACTGACCCCCCCACCCCGTGGTTTCCAGGCTCTGAAGGAGGTGACGGAGAGTGCCCGCCTGGATTTCCAGCGGGAAGCCGAGCTCCTGACGGTCCTGCAGCACGAGCACATCGTCAAGTTCTACGGCGTCTGCACCGAGGGCGAACCCCTCATCATGGTCTTCGAGTACATGAAACACGGCGACCTCAACCGCTTCCTCAGGTGGGGCCGAGGCTCCGGGGGGGTGGGTTTCTCTCTCTGTGTCCCCCCCCCCCAACCCCACACACGCTCCCCAGCTGCCTCTCCATCAGCCCGGCCCGCTCCCCGCTAATGCAGCCCTCCTTGCAATATTGATTAGATTTGCTGTCTGAGAGGCTTAAATAGAGAGAGATTGGCCATCAGCTGGAATAAGCAGAGACTTTTCGATTGCCCCCCCAGGTATTGCTGCTAG